AATTACTTTTAAGTTACTTATAGATGCTGGATATTAGACTTATATCAGATGGATAGGTTGCAAAAATTTTCTCCCATTCTCTAGGTTAGTTACCCTGTTGATAGTTTATTTTGCTTTGCAAAAGCTCTTTAGTTTAATTAAGTCCCACTTTTCAATGTTTGCTTTTATTGCAATTGCTTTTGGCATCTTCATCATGAAATCTTTGCCCATGCCTATGTCCAGAATGGTATTTCCTAGATTGTCTTCCAGGGTTTTTATAGTTTAGGATTTTACATTTAAGTTGTTAATCTATCTTGAGTTAATTTTTATATATGTTATAAGGAAGGGGTCCAGTTTTGATCCTCTGCATATGGCTAGCCAGTTACCTCAGCACCATTTATTGAATAGGAAATCTTTTCCCCATTGCTTGTTTTTGTCAAGTTTGTTGAAGGTCACATGGTTGTAGGTGTGTGATCTTTTTCCTGGGTTCTATATTCTGTTCCATTGGTCTATGTGTCTGTTTTTGTACCAGTACCATGCTGTTTTGGTTACTGTAACCCTGTATTATAGTTTGAAGCCAGCTAGCCTGATGCCTCCAACTTAGTTCATTTTGCTTAGGATTGCTCTGGCTATTCAAGCTCTTTTATGGTTCCATATAAATTTTAAAACAGTTTTTTCTAGTTCTGTGAAGAATGTCAATAACAGTTTAATGGAAAAATCATTGAATCTATAAATTGCTTTGAGCGGTATGGCCATTTTAACAATACTGATTTTTCATATCCATGAACATGAATGTTTTTCCATTTGTTTGTGTCATCTCTGATTTCTTTCAGCAGTGATTTGTAGTTCTCCTTGGAGAGATCTTTCACCTCCTTAGTTAGCTGTATTCCTAAGTAGTTTATTCTTTTTGTGGCAGTTGTGAATGGGAAGTCTTTCATGATTTCCCTCTCAGCTTGACTATAGTTGGTGTGTTGGAATGCTAGTGATTTTTACACATTGATTTTGTATTCTGAGACTTTGCTGAAGTTGTTTATTAGCTTAAGAAACTTTTGGCTGAGACTATGTGGTTTCTAGATATAGGATGATGTCATCTGCAAACAAGATAGTTTGACTTCCTGTGTTTCTATTTTGATGCCCTTTATTTCCTTCTCTTGACTGATTGCCCTGGCCAGAATTTCTAATACTGTGTTGAATAGGAGTGGTAAGAAAGAACATCCATATCTTGTGCCAGTATTCAAGGGGAATGCTTCCAGCTTTTTCCCATTCAGTATGATATTGACTGTGGGTTTGTAATAGATGGCTCTTACGATTTTGAGGTATGCTCCTTCAATACGTAATTTATTGAGCATTTTTAACATGAATGGATTTCGAATTTTATTGAAAGTCTTTTCTACATCAATTGAAATAATCATGTGGTTTTTGTCTTTAGTTCTGTTTATATGACAAATCATATTTATTGATTTGCGTATGTTGAACCAACCTTGCATCCCAGGGATAAAGCCTAGTTGATTGTGGTAGGTAAGCTTTCTGATGTGCTGCTGGATTCGGTTTGCCAGTATTTTGTTGAAGATTTTTGCATCGATGTTCATCAAGGATATTGGCCTGAGGTTTCTTTTTCTGTTATATCTCTGCCAGGTTTTGGTATCTGGATAATGCCAGGGTTTCCAGAATTCTTAGAGTGGTTCTTTCTCATCTGTGTGAGCTGGTGTTTGGTCTCTGAAGTTGCTGTTTTTTGTATGCGTTTTTTTGCTTTTATATTTTTTTTAATTTCCTTGAGGGCTTATTTGTGGTATAAGTTGGGTTTCTTTCATTGGGCTTCATTTCTGGGTACTTTGAGGTGGCCAAGGCTCAGCTCACCCATCCTGGGCTGCATACTGTAACCCTAGGTGGCTGAGACCAGGCCTGCTGCTTTGTTCTGGTTTATTGAGGTCAAGTACTTGCTGTGCTGGAGAAGGTGAGGTGTTCCCATTCTGATGACAACAGTTCTTCAACAGGGGCTGCCAGCAAAAGTGCTGTAATTGGGCATGGGAGGCACGGAGTGGGTGCTGTGGTAGCTGGGGCTCAGGCATGTATATACCAGTAGAGCAATGGTGGGCTCTATGGGTGACTGCAGCAATGGGATGGCTGAGGGAGGGCCTCCCGGTGTGTCAGTGGGGCTGTGATTGGTCTGTGTGTGTATGGATGCTGATGTGGTGGTGGTGGATTCTTATGCACATGGGCCCTGGCAGCATGGCTTGGGGAGGCTGTGGCTTAGTGCTCACCGTTGGGGGAAGGCTGCAAGTAGATGCTCACTGGTGGAGGTTTGTCTTCAAAAATACTTTGGTGGGAAGGTGGAGACTGCCAGGCAATGATCTATGACAGTGAACTTTGGCAAGGATTTTGTCAGTGCAGCTGAGGCTGTGCTGCGGGCAGGTGTGGCCAGAGGAGATATCAGCAGAGTGGGGGTTGCTTAGATCACACTGGCTGAATCCTGTGGGTAAGATAGCCTTGCACTCACCAGGTCCAGCTGCTCACAAAGGGTAAAATCACCTAGAAGAGCATGGTGAGCCTTGGGGATGGGCTCCCTTGCAGCTCTTCCCATGCCAAACCTTCTGAGCTCCTAGTATACTGGATTTCTGTCTCTAACAACTCTCCGGGCAATTCTTGCCATCTCAAATGTCCATGGGGCTCATAGGGGCTCCTGCAGCTAGCATTCCAGATGTCTGTGGCAACGGTGAACCACTCTATGTCTATTTCACTCACTCCTTCTTTAGGAGCCGCTAGTGGCCAGGAACAAGCTTTGGTGTTTGGCAGTCCCATGGAGTATTCTTGGCCTCCTCCGTTTTCAGCCCTGAGGCCTGCGTTCTTTCTCCCTGTATCCACTTTGAGTGCCTTCTTCCTGAAGATCTGTTTGCAGTGTGCTTGTCTACTTGATGGTGTTGTCTGTCTCGGTGAGAGAAGCTTTTCTTGGCTTTGTCTAGTCCACCATCTTGGCTCTTCTCCATCCAAGTCATTTTTTCAAGGTTCCATTCTTTCCACACTGTTTTGTAATGCCACTCCTGTCATCATCTCCATGCATTCATGGATCATTTTATTAGTTACCTATTGCTGCCATAACAAACTTAGTAGCTTATAACAGCACAAATTTATCTTACCATCCTGGAGGTCAGGAGTTTAAAACAGGTTGACAGGGCTGCATTTCTTCCTGAGCTTCTAGGGGAGAACCTGTTCTTTGTCTTATCCAGCACATAGAAGCTGCCTGCGTTCCTTGGCATGTGCCCCACTTCCAACAGTGGCATCACTCTGATGTCTGCTCCTGTCTTTACATCTTTTTCTTTGACTTTGGCCTTCCTGCCTCTTTCTTTCTTTCTTTTTTTTTTATTTTTTGACAGAGTCTTGCTCTGTTGCTCAGGCTGGAGTGCAGTGGCATGATCTTGGCCCACTGCAACCTCCACTTCTCAGATTCAAGCAATTCTCCTGCCTCAGCCTCCCAAGTAGCTGGGATTACAGGCATGCACCACCACACCTGGCTAGTTCTGTATTTTTAGTAGAGACGGTGTTTCACCGTGTTAGCCAACCTAGTCTCGAACTTCTGACCTCAGGTGATCTGCCACCTTGGCCTCCCAAAGTGCTGGGATTACAGGCATGAGCCACTGTGCCTGACCACCTCTTTCTTTTAAGGACACTGTGATTATGTTGCACCCACTAGAATAATCTCCCAATCTCAAGATCCTTAAATTAATCACTACTGTAAAGTCCTTCTTGCTAGGTATGGTAATGTATTCACAGGAGCCAGAAGATTAAGATGTGAACATCTTAATGGGAGAGCGCATTTTTCAGCCTACTCTAGTTGTCTTTCTGGACATTCCATTATTATTTTCTTGTGTTTTTCATTTATTCATCCTGAGCATACCCATTTTAGAATCTCAATCGGATAGTTATACTATCCGAATAACATTTTGGGAAGTTTAATCCTGCTATTTCTTTTGTCTGTGCACTCAAGGTAAGATGTGTTTCCTCAGGTGTTGTATAATTCTAGATTATAAACTCATCATCTAGGGACTCCATCTGTGGCAATCTCATATGGCCTTGGTTAAAGTCTTATTCAACCAGAAAGCTTTAGCCATTGCTCCCCCTAACTGTCCAGGAGTCTATTCAATGACCCAGCACCACTTCTCATGATACTTTGTTGGTTAAGAGTTTCTTGTATCATATAGTGGTATAATTTCAAACCCCTAGCATGTACGGAGGCAGACTACTGATAATATTAATAAATACACAGTATAATCTTCCACCATTCAGGGTTTCACCCAAACAAAACTGTTTTTTTTTTTTTTTTTGGCTTGTTTTCTACCTCTTTTAGTAAGTGGATTTCTTTCCTTGGTTATTCTTTAACTGAGGTATAGCTCTTTAATAATCCAGATATTTTAAGAGAATATCTCCTTTTCTACTTCCTTCCTTGTTTGGATCTTAAGGTCTCTCTTCTCCTTACATGTGCATTAAAACTTAAGCACTTAGATTACTACTGAGATAGGCACACTCTCTAGAGCTTCTGTTGCATTAGTTTTGGCTACTGGAGGTTTTGCTTACATTTATTGTGAGTAAAATATCTAGGAGTTTTCCGGAGTTTTCCAGAGTCTTCTCTGGTTAATTCCTCTTTAGCACTTCTCAATGGTGATTTCTCTTGGGTGTGTCATACATACATTACCTCTTGAGGCTGTTTGTGTTCTTTGTACCTTAGGTAGGCAGGAGCTGATTTAGGGGGAATAACTGGCTCTTGCTTAGGTATACTTTTGGTTTGGTCACTATACTTTTGGTTTGGTCACAGTTCTGTCAGCATTGTATTATTATCAGTGACACCTCTACTGTGTCAAGATACTACTAATCTTACCTCAGATAGATTTTGAATACTATGATAGAGAAAATAATACATTATCAAAATGTTTTTTTTCTGTAATACCAATTATGAAGTGTAAAATACTTAAAATATTTTTACCTTAATTTTCATTACCCTAATTCTTATTTTCCTATTCTCTTCCTAGGATGTGTGCTGTGTTTGGTGGAACTTATTGTCTTCGCCATTCAGTGCAGTGCCTTGTAGTGGACAAAGAATCCAGAAAGTAAGGATGATCTAAGTAACCTTCATGTATATATATTTATATTTATACCCCAAACACAGGTGAGAAATGCTGAAGTCAGTTTAAAAGAAAAGATTCTTCAAAGATCCTCCTTGCTATTAATAACATATCAACCTTGATTAAAAGTAATTTGTGTTTAGGTCCTCCAGAACAAGAATAGTGAGTTCAGAATATAGAAACTAAATTAATTTCCCTGCAATGTGCCTATAGCTCCTGGTCATCCAAGCTTGGAAGACAAATCATTTCAGCTGCCAGGGGGTGGGTGATGAGTGATGTTAGTTTTCCTTGTGGCCTTACCTCCTCTAATTGATTTTCATCAGATGACAACAAAGCCCTCTGTTATTGCATTTTTAAAAATGGAATTCACCTAAAGACTCATCAGATTAATCTCTGCTGATAATGCATGTCACTCCAAGAGAAAAGACTTTAATGAGTTTTTAGGTAGATTGTTGTCATAAACTATGCTGCCCTCTTATCTAAGGATAAATTCTTTTACAATAGTATCAGGCCTATAGGCAGGTTTAGGGTTGAAATAAGAATTTACTGGTTCTTTAAAAGAGCTGAACACCATCTGTTTACTCTATATTTTATATTTCAATTATATTTACTTGTCTGAATTACGCTGGATAAAATATTCTATGATTTCTGCGTTCTACACTGAAACTTAAATGTGTCAACTGGATCCACTTTTAGAAGCTGTGTAAATTGCTATGTGTTTTTCTTTTCTGTTACATGTTCTCAAGCATGTACTGACCTATATTTCTTAGATGATTGTTTTTAGGGGGTATATAGTTAAATGGTATTTTTGAGGTTATAAAACATTTTAACACTTGAACTGGAAGCTTAAATAATACAAATTTTAAGCTGTGCCTTTCATTTCACAAAAGTTTTCTATCATCTAAGTGGCATGAAATGTCTATTAACTTCTTATAGACTAATTGTAGTGAAAAAAAGCTAGTGTTTTGAGGTATGGTGAAGAAAAACCTCAACTCTAGAAATGTATAATAATATTTAGTAAATTTACTTTAGAAGAGTAATTCTGTTGTGTAAGGTAACATTGATACATATTTTAAAAGGGTTGCAAAATACCTTTAGCACTTTTGTAGAAAGATACTACAAAATAAAAAGTGATAGTTTGGAGAGAAAAATTTACCCCTGGAGGCCCAGATTGTTAACATCTTGACTCTATGGAAGTTAAGGAATAGTTGTCTTCAGACTTCTAGAGTCATTTTTCTTTGTGCATTCACTTGTTTACAAGAGTATGTTCTTATGATGGAAAGCCAGATAATGAATTCCTTGTTTGGTGCTTCTTTGCTTAGATTCTTTTACTCTTGGGGTCCCATTTCAGTCCCATGTGACATGAATAATTTGCATAGGTCATGTTTGTTTAAATAAAACAGATATGCTAGTATAGTAATTGCATTTGTTGAACTAAAGGCTACCTTTTCCTTACCTTTGACTTTGTTTTTATGACATACTCTGAACAGAGGAGCTCTTTTTCATGATCTGGGGCAGATTCCAGTTGCAACAGATAGCTGAAGGCTGATGGTCTAGAGACCAATTGAATCTCTAGATTGGTGGTTTTCAAACTTTAATGTGCCTAAGAATTACCAGGTAAGCTTGTCAAAAATGCAGATTTCCATTCCTCACTGTCAGAAAGTGAAATTGGTTAATAGGCTTAGGGTGAATGCAGTAATTTGCAGTTGTAAAGAATACTCCAAGTTAATCTAATAAAGGAAATCCTTAGATGACACTGAGAAACACTGATCTATAAGGTAAAATTCAGGGCTTAGTGAAGGGTACTGTGTTCCATGGTAAACTGGGGGCTTTAGGTCTTAAGTCAACCTAAGGCCTTATCGATATGAATCTGTCAGATATACTGACAATCAAATTTGAATTTTATTATTTATTTAGTTATTTTTATGAAACGGAGTCTCGCTCTGTCTCCCAGGCTGGAGTGCAGTGGCGTGATCTCAGCCCACTGCAACCTCCCACTTCCAGGTTCAAGCAGTTCTCCTGCCCCGCCTCCTGAGTAGCTGGGACTACAGGCGTGCCCCACCACACCCAGCTAATTTTTGTATTTTTAGTAGGGACGGGGTTTCACCATGTTGGTCAGCCTGGTTTTGAACTCCTGACCTCGTATTTGCTCACCTCAGCCTCCCAAAGTGCTGGGATTACAGCAAATGTGAATTTTAAATAGCAGACAGACTGCTTCTAACTTAATATTTTAAAACTATCTTCATAGAAAGACATTTCTTGTTTTGTAACTTCTAAGGCATGAGTAAAGGTTGGGTAGCCCTGGAATGAGAGGAGACTTGGATTTCCATTAGTGCCATGAATGACAGTGGGCAAATCCTTTCCTCTGGACTGAATCCTTTATCTGAAAGATAAATGAAATGGACCCTGTAGTAATCTCTGGATCTCCTTCTAGATTTGACATGCTTTGGTTGAGTTATTTAATGTTCTCAGAAAGTACTTGGCTTTTCCTTAATATTTAGAGATGAATTATCTTAAAATATTTTATATGCTCAAATGTAAGCCATTCTCGCATAATGCATAATCTTCAATCCCAGTGAAAAATTAAAAAAAAAAAAATGAACAACTTGTATGTGCCTGCTTGTATGAATATAACTTAAATAGCACACAGTCTACTTGTGCTATTAATTATATTGTTATATTACTAGAATCCCAGTTTTCTAGTGAACATCATCATCTTGTCCATCTTGTTTTTTTAGAATGCAACGATTTTGGATTCTGTATGTGAATCTCTTCCTGAAAAATTTATTCTAAGCCATAAGTATTTATTTCTTTAACAAGACAGTTTTTAAAACTTGACCTGAAATCATAACATTCCTGTTATCTACAATATTCACATTATACTGAAATGCTTAAGTGATATTTAAAAGATACAGGCAATGCTTGAAAATGATAAGCTCCTATTTATACCTTCAGTAATAATTACCATATTTATGTTAAATTTTTCCTCTTTAAAACAATCTAGCAAGTCAAATAGTCTCTGTAAATACCTAAAGCTAGCATTGACTGAAGTTGGCTCAGGTCCGTATATCTTTACCAAACACAGCTTTGCCATTCAAAATCAAATATACAAAAGAGATAACCAGTAATAGGAGATATTTTGTTAGGATTTGAATATAAAGCAAGGGATAGTTTTTTGGGGGGGAATCCTTGACCTTGTATTGGGTGTATCCAACTACATTTCTTTTTAAGGATTCGAGGCTGACTTAGACAATTGTTATATTCTAAGTATAATTAGGGTAGTAAGTAAGGAATCTGTAAAGATTTGCATTTGTCTCCTTATGGTTTTAGTTTGCCTTTCTTTTCCTAGTTTTCTATGTGGAACACTTGATATACCCTCTCCTCTTTAGGGTAGTTAAGAACTACTCATGCTTAGAGTCAAAGTTCTAAGTTTATTCTGTGATCCCACAGACTACATCAGAACCCTCTGCCAGTCCTGACTGTCCACTGTCACATCACTTTTATGATCATTTCCTAAGTTATCTATAAGAAAAGGCAGGATCTCACTGTTGTATCTCCAGAACCAAGGCAGGTTCCTAGTATTCATTATACTCAATAACTTTGAGTTAAATAAATGAATAAAGATTAAAGACTGACCATAGCTCTTTTCGTGCTTTGCTTTGTGCTGTCCATTTAGGAAAGGTGAGAGAGGCCTCAGTGATCACAGCATTGAGTTTAATGTGGCGATTATACATCCAACTACTGTTCAGACTGAGAAGAGAAATAGGGCATTGAGGAGGCACATTAAATCATGGTATGTGAAATGTGTAACCCAGTGCATACCTATTTTCAGCTAGGTTTTATTTTTCATTTTTGTTTGCCTGGTTCTGCTTTCTTAATTTGAGAGGACATAGGTATGTATCAGTGGTTCTTTTCTGAACCTTTTCACTAAATTCTCATACTGCACGTTTCCGTTGAGTCTTTTTGAAAACTCTGAATGTTCTAGTTAAACAGTTTTCTTTTCCTTTGCAGCTGTGTTGACCAGGCAAAACTCCTGTAAATTAGATCTGGCCAGTTAGTAGTATAGCATATGGTATTTTGGTAAAGTGCAGATGACATTGGACCAGATCCATCTATAACCAATATTTGTAATCTAATTACTTCAGCTACTGGTCCTTGTGTACTTCAGCTGTCTCGCCAGCTTTCCTCTGATGGCTCTTTCTTGATGTCAGGTATATATTTTTCTGATTACAGGAATATATATTTTCTGATGTCAGATATATTTTTCTGATGTCTGTGCGTTTTCTAGATACTTGGAAGTGAGTAATGAATAGAATGTTAGACCAAGTTTGGGGTAATTGACTCTTAATACTATTTGTCATTGCTGAAGCATTGGTTTTAACGTGGCCTGCTTGCAAAATGATAGTGATCACATTCTGGATATTTAACATCTGCCAAACCCCATCTAGTTGCTATGGGGATAAAGAAATGAATAAAAACATGAACCCTGTCCTTGTATACAAGGAGACTTCAGTAAAAAGCTCTAAAGTCAGATAGATTGGATTTGAATCCTGACTTTGTCACTAATTATTATGTGTACCTGAGCAAGTTATTTAACTCTCTATGACCCAGTTTCTTTATCTAGAAATTTGGACAATTGACTACACCTACCTCACAGGGTTATTATAATTATTAACGAAATAGATAAACGTTGTAGAACCATTTGTTACACATTGTAAGTGCTAACTATGTTAGCTAACAGTAACTATTAATATAATTGGAGACCTTGAAATCCAGTGGTGGGGGAGACCTATTGTGAAGATTCTTCTGTGCTATGCTAAGGAATTTGGACTCTAATGAGAGGTGGTAATGGAAAGCAGCAAGATTAGATTTGCTACTTTTATGTTGTAACTCTGGCAATGATTTGGAAGAAGCACTGTGATGGAAAATGATTCTTTACCTCCTAAATCAGAGATTCTGTATCTTTTTTTCCCCTCTCTCTACACTATTCACATGTACAGAATACTTCATTATCCATCCATCCACCTATCAGTGCAACAATTATTATTTGTTTTCTTTGTGCCAGGCACTGGGGATACAGCAGAGAAAAAGACAATTGGGGTCTTTGTTCTCATGGAACTTACAGTCTACTGGGGGACATTGCAGAACAACTAAATTAATAAGATAATTGTACATTGAGATCTGTTCAGTATGCAGATCTGGCTCCATCCTTATTTCAGAAGCCTCCGTGCCTTTATATAATCTCATAATAAAGTCTAAGACCTTTCTACATGACACATGACGGGTGAGACTCTGTAATCTGGCCTCTGTCTGCTTGTCTAGGCTCATTTCTCTTTCCTACTTGCTTTTCATGTTATTGTGACATAATACTGAACTGTTCATGGATCTCTGTACCTGTTCTTCTCTTACTTGCCTTTGTAACCCTGCAGATTCTGCACTTCTACCTGAGATATCCATATCCTTATTTGCTTGCTTAACTGTATTTTATCCTATAAAAGCAACGAATGTGTCACTTCCTCCAAAGAGCATTCCCTGATACTCCACCCCTTGACCACAAGATGAGTTAGGTACCTCTTCTAGTAATCTGTAATTCCTTATCCTTATCTTTTATCATTCTACTTTGCTTTTGTCTTAAAATTGTCTCTGTCTGAATCTTCAAAAATTATCTCTGTCTGAATCTTCTCCTTTAGGGCAAGACATTTTTCTTCTTACCTCTTAGAACAGTGCTTGGCACATGATTGTTTTGCTATACATTTATGTTGAACAGATGAATTGCCAACTTGATAGCAGTTCATTATCTTATTAGACATTATAAGAGTCTAAGGCAGTATCAGTGGAGATGGAGAAAAGAGGCTAGTTTCAGGAAGTATTTATAAGGTGGAATCAAAATGTTATAGCAGACTAGATGTAAGAAGAGAGATTTGAGGCGGGAAAACTGCTCGTTATGCCATTACCTGATACAGGGATTCCAAGGGAGTCAGAGCAGATGAGGAGCCATGATAAACTCAGTTTGCCGCATGCTAGTTTTAAGAAACACTTGGCTAATAATACTGTATTATTTCCTTGAGATTTGGTAAGAGCAGGTTTTAAGTTCCTCATGACACCCACAGATGGTAAAGATGGGTGGTGATAGATGTGTTAATTAATTTGTGGTAATCATTACACAGTGTATATGTATATCAGGTCATTACATTATACACCTTGAATATATACAATTTTTATTTTTCAATTAAATATTTATTAAAAGGGAGCTTGGAGTCTATCCAGAAAGTAATGGATAATAGACAGTTACAAATATGGATACAGAGCTTAGCAGAAGTCAGAGCATAAAACTATAGATTTGAAGTTATTTGCCTGTTAATGGTGTTTAGAACTATTAGAGTGTTTTTTACCCAAGAAAAAAATGAGTGTGAAGCATGTGAGATGGTTTTATGGGTGAGGTGGCATTTGAACTAATGCATTTCAGAAAGCTCAGAAGGGCGTAGTAACTAGGGAAAATTATTTTGTTTTCTTCAGTGATTGAGCATCTTCTAATTTCCTTAGTTTGTACATTTTCCTTTAAATTATTCCATATGCAGTTTCTGCTTTCTTTACCATAAAATTATTTGGTGTATTCATTGTGAAGATCCCAGAAATTGAATAATACTTGTTTTAGTGTTATTTTTCTCATCTAAGCCAAATTGCAGATACTGAGTTTTCATTTTATTATTTTCTTCCTTATCATCATGTTGCTATCTATGCCCTTACATCATTGATCCAAGAACTGAATAACTCTTGTGATTTGTTTATTTAGAAAGCTTAGCTCTAGAAGTGTTCTGTCTGGCTTCAGTGTTTTGTGTGATCAGCTTGGTCATTGTGTCCCTGTAACTGGGGACACCTGTCATGTTCCTCCTCAAATACTATTTATGAGGCTCAGCAAGGCCCTCACTAAATATTACATGGTTTAATCTTTCCTGGCTTCCTCAGGTTTACGTGGGAGGGGTATTTTCCTGTCTCCGGCAGCACTTTTTCATTTTGCTGCTTTCCGTTACTTAAATGTCATCTAATCTTTTATATGAATCATTACAATACAAAGACTAAATCTAGGTCCAAAATAAATATTTTCTTATTCATTGTTTTCCCAGTTAGGCTGAATGTCTGACAGTAAGTTAAATGAGAGGAGAACAAATCTCACTTGCTTAAACATGTCTTGATTTGAGCAGCTTTGCTTAGGCCTAGAGCCTTAGTGCTTCAGAGTGATATTATCAGGTGAGTCATGTTATTATCATCTTCCAGACTGAGACTTGGGCATATGTGACCATCACCTCAATTTCTGCAGAAGCAAATATTTTATCTGTACCAATAGTCCTTGACTTTTCTCCACCCACCACAACATAGAAGATACAACAATAGCAGTGGCATGCTTGACAGTGATTCTTTCCTGGGATTTGGGAGCTTATCAGAATCTCCAGGGGTACTTTATAATTTAAAAATGTCCCCCAGGTGTGATTCTGATTTGCTTCCTTCTCCTCCTCCCACTCTGACAATCACTGTTTCATTAGAAGCCTCAGCATAAATAGACACATGTATTAGTATCTTCTCCTTGTATAGTTGAGTTCCCTAACTCCCACACCCCCATACTTTCCTTTTGAGTGATCCTCATTAGTTCTTTCTAATATCATAACTTGAAACAAATGTCTATCTGTCACTGAAGCTATAGCTACCACCAAAACAACCTTGTTTAAAAGCCTACAAAGCCTGAGGACCAGGTTTAATAATACAGTTTAAATGGGAACCTTTTGCAAAGATTTGCACTCAGGTCTGAGATTTATATTAACACTGACCCTCACCCCCCTAGCTTTAACATTTTATGGTGAAAATTTTCAAACTTATACTGATGTGGAAGGAATTTCAAGAGAACACCTGTATATCCACTTCCTGGGTTCTGCAATTAACATTTTAATAAACTTGTTTAGTCACATAGCTACCCAAATATTAATCCTTCTATCCATGTATTGACTCATCTTTTTAATGCATTTGACTGTAAATTGCAGATGTCAGTAAAATTCTCCCTAAATACTTCAGCATGCATATCGTTAACTGGAGCTCAATATTTGTTTAGTGTTTTTCTTTTGATGGAAAATTTACATACAGTGGAGTGCCCAAATCTTAAGTGCTCCTTAATTGAGTTTTAACAAATGATAAATCTGTATAATCTAAACCCTATCAAGATATAGAAATTTAACACCCACTGTTTTCTGCCCAATTATTTCCTCTCGTCTTCACATAGTCTCTGAATTAAAGGTAAGAAAAAGGCTCGTCAGTGTTTACAGGACAAATAGAGACTGATGTTTAATGGCAGATAGATTTCTCTTCTCAATTGCCTTAAGTACTTTGTGTTTCAAATGGTATATGAGTGTTTTAAAATAGAAGACTGAGTGAATAACTTATATTTTCAGTTTTTAAAACACTGTTTTGGAGAATATCAGATGTAAGTACTTCAGATCTATTTTGTTAAGTATTTTATAAGGCAAGAGTTCTAGTTCAATAAAATGTGAGGAGGTATATATAGAAACAGAAGTAGAGAAGAGAAAGAGTGGAGATGAGATGGGAAAAATCATGTAAATATTAATGTAATATAACAAATATTATATTAAAAGTGGTTAATTGGTTAAAATATATATTATGTACATCACTAGACATCATAGTCTATCCCTACAACAGTGGGATGCCATTTGTTCAAATATATTAGCATATCGTAATTTGCCTTTAGGAAATACAAATTGAATTATTCTCACTATTGGTCTTGAGTGTTAGTCATTTTATTTTTAATGCCTTTATTCCTGGAAGGTATCACTTATATGGCTTATCTTTAGAGTGACTGAACAGATTTTAACTTATACCAGTATATTTTATAATATGCTTTTGAAATTAATTTGGTTGCATTTTATGAGGGGCAACACATAAGTTCATTTCTAATAAAATAATTCTGTTCCCCAAAGAAGAAGCTGTGACACAAATAAATTGATATTTCCATAATCCAAAGATATAGCAAACACAGTCATTTGCATATAGTTCCTGAAATATTGCATACTGGCCTTGTCAGTGCTGGTAAGTCCATTTCAAGGATGTTGCCCTTAGTCCATTAGTTTGGATAATGAGCCCTATAAAGTACATTTATAACTTGTGGCACTGCAAGTAGATGGATTCCAATTTTCATCCTTTTATCTAGACACATTGAAAGAAGGTCAATGGAGGGTTCTATATGATTCATTGTCCCAACACATATCAGATGACAGAGACCTGATAATGTCCGTGCATAAGTGTTTTCCTTATTTGGAAACAGCACTTGAAAGAAATCTTTCTATGATCATCCTTTGAAGTAAAGTGGAAACAGGTATTAAAAGATGCTCTATCCCATTTTTCTGTTTCAAACGTTACCAATCATGTGACCATATAGCTATTCTTGGACAAAAGAGAAACCAACATTTAACAGAAAAATAAAAAGCCTGTAAAAGGCCTTTATAAGCTGTGAATGATATAACAAGGTATTTAATCAATTTTTCTCTCTTTTCTTAGAGCTGCTAAGGAGAAAAATATATACAAGCCTGTTTTCTAAACAAAGGAAATGCTTCTGTGTTCCTAAACATTAGGAAATTTATGATTTACTATAATTCTTACCCTGACTTTATTCTTATTAATGGCATTCAAAGTACACGTTTAAGATGCATTCCAGGTTCATTTTATACTTTAAAAGACCTCAAAATGGCAACAAGAATATATATTCTGTCATTTAGTGTCAGTTTTGCGTCAGAAAATGTGGAATTATAGGCAAGTTTTAAGTGTTGTCTTCATGAGAAATTGGTTTTAGATTCAAAATTAGTAGCTAATTATGTTGTTTTTCTCAATTATTTAATTATTAATATGAACTTTTGTGGTATACTTATCTTCTTTATAGATGTAAAGCAATTATAGATCAGTTTGGTCAGAGAATAATCTCTAAGCATTTCCTCGTGGAGGACAGTTACTTTTCTGAGAACACATGCTCACGTGTGCAATACAGGTAAGGCCCCCTCCACCCACTAGCAAGCGAAGGTAATTTTATTGACATTTCTGTATGATTCTGTTCTTCAGGTAACATGCAAATAAATGCCAAACCAAAGATATATTCAGTATCTTACTTCACTTACAGGGTCTGGCTTTAAAGGAGTCTAGCATAATTTCAACTCCTTTGCTTCAGCTGGGGTTTGTCTGTAGGTCAAGCATCCTCCTTTCATGAGCCAAGAAACGAATAAAGCCAAACTTGACTTGGTTTTGGGAGGTTACACTTTTATCCTGACTTAAATCTTTGAAACATGCCTTCTAGTGGTTATATAACTATAAACGAAACTTAGCCATGGAATCAGAATTACTGCTTGACTGTTTTGTGCATTACAGGCAGATCTCCAGGGCAGTGCTGATCACAGATAGATCTGTCCTAAAAACAGATTCAGATCAACAGGTAAATTCAGTACTATATATTTTTAATAAAAGGTGTATATGTGAAGATGTACAACGTAATGTTTCGCTATACGTATACGTGGTGAACTAATCACTACAATTAAGTTAATTAACATATCTATCTCTTTACATAATTTCCTTTTTTATGGTGAGAACACTTAAGATTTACTTTCAGCGAATTGTAAATATACAACATCATATTATTAACTGTAGTCTTCCGCTGTACATTAGATCTCTAAAACTTATTCTTTTTGTATAACTGAAAGGTTGTACCCTTTGACCAACATCTCCCCATTTTGCCTAGCCCCTGGCAACCACCGTTTTACTCTCTGCTTCTATGAATTTGAATTTTTTGTATTTCACATGTAAGAGCAATCATGCAGTATTTTCCTTTCCTTGTCTGGCTTATTTCATTTAGCATAATGTCCTCCAGGTTCATCTATGTTGTTGCAAATGGTAGGACTTTCTTCTTTTTTAAATACTGAATAATATTCCATTGTGTACACATACACACACACCCCATTTTTACAAAAACCATTATTGCACTGACGGATGCTTAGGTTGTTTCCAAATCTTGGCTTCAATGAATAATCCTGCATTATACATGGGAGTGCAGACATTTCTTTGAGATACTGAAGGATACATACCCACAATCTGGATTGGTGGATTATATGATAATTCTATTTTTAACGTTTTTGTGGAACCTCCATAATGTTTATAAAGATTTACATTCCAACCAGTAGCGTACAAGATCTGCTTTTTTCTATATCCTCATCAACACTTGTTATCTCTTGTCTTGTTGATAGTAGCCATCCTAACAGAGGTGAAATGATACCTCATTGAGTCTTAAGCTTTCTAATAACATTGTTACTAATTTAATCTCCATAGCAATTTGTATAAATCAATATTGGCAAAATTAAGTGTATTAAGCTATATGTAGTAAAATTTGAGTATCCCTTCTCTGAAATGCTTGGGGCAAGAAGTGCTTGGATTTTAGATTTTTTAGGGGGTTTTAGAGCATTTTGGATTTCAGATTTTTGGATTAGGGATACTCGACTTGTAGTTATTAAATTTGTTTTTAAAAAGTACACGATGGCAATAATGTAATGGCATTGGTTTCCTAAGGATTTCCATCCCGTGGAACAGATAGTTGCATCTTATATAACAGATTTATTTTAGGAAAATTGATGTAAATACTAGAGTTTGAAAATTATTTCTGTGAAAGTGAAAATATATTGTTATGGGGAGAAAAAGAGAATCCCCAGAGAATACATTTAAAAATCTGGGAGAAAAAGGCAGTAGCCAACCCTATGGCAATGATTGTAAGTCCACTGTTAGGCCTGGTGTGAATGATTTCCACACACGTTCCCAGTTATGGTATTTCCTTACCACCATCGTTCATTTCAGTACCCTGTTCTTCTCCCTTATCCCCAGTTCCATAGGAATGTCATTATGCCTCTGGTTTTTACTCAGACCTCTTAAATTTCAGAGTACCCAATTCTCCTTCTAACCGTATTTTATAGTGATTGATGAAATCAGCTTACTCAGTAGGTGTGACTGTCGGTTCTGTATGCCACTGCTAAAAGTAGGCTCCTAAAGTTCCTTAAGTTGAAAGCTTTTTCTTATATAAAAGAAGTATGTGAGTGGATAAAGTCAATTCATTGTCCCAGTTTTTATTGCTAATAAATCAGCATTATATACAAAAAAGTCCCCCAAATATACTTCTTATATGTGTAATATGAATACTTTCATTAAGCCATTCAGCAAACAATGAGTGCTTTTTACCTTCCAGCCAGTGTTGCTGCATTCTAAGGAGCTAGTGGTGACTATGATAGCATCTCTGCCCTCAAACAGCTTTCAGCCTGGCAGATACAGATACTGATAAGTAGCAACTATAGTTCCGTGTGACAAGTGTGAGCATGGGTGTGTAGAACAAATAGTAAGGCAGCTATTATATTACTTACTCCACTGTCCTACAATTACTGGTTTACTTGCCTGTATTTCCCAGTAAGCTATGAGGTTTGTGAGTGTATCAAAGAGTGCCAGGGAGGCAGAAGAGTAAAGAGAACAAATAGAGATAACTCTTGGGGGAAGCTAAGCTGTGAAGAATAAGAGGGAGGAACTGGTCTTTGAAGAGAGATGTGGAGAAGAGGGCTTTTCTTTACTTTAAAAGATTAGTATATATTTCAGCTCATGGAATGAAGCCAATAGAGAGGGAGAGGTTGAAGATACCAAAGTAAGAAGGACGATAATTGATGGATCAAGGTCCAGGCAAAGGCTGGGGAGGCTAAAATTCAGAGAACAGGCAAATACATTGCCCATGGATGGGATGGGAGACACGTTGAAACCAGAGGGTGAATGCATTTGTAGATTTGGGAATTCCCATCTTATGGGTTACATTTATTCTTTTAAATTATAAAGAAGGTGAAGTCATCTTTTGAGAATGGGGGTGTGCAAATGTGGATGGGTAGAAGCTCAAGGAAAGGTGTAAAATAATCACCATAGGAGTTGCAGAGTGTACTGTCTCATGTTCAAATTGCTGGGCAGTGTTAATGGCCCAATTGAGTCTGAAGGTCATGGATCTATAGTGGCATTAACCTGCTCCTATCCCTTCAGCTCTTTCATTCTCTTACCTCTACCCAGTCTGTTAAGAGATGTATAATTCCTCATTCCCTCTGTTTCTTTTCAGTTTATCATCTCCCTTCTGCCCCTTTCTTTTTCCCTGCACTAGACCCCGTAGTAGATCTTCCGAATTGCTCTTTGTCTGACACTCTCAGTACCCATGTTATCATGTCCTTCTGCTATACCCACAGAGGAAGATCCCATCCCTGAGTCAGGCTGTGATCTTCACCTGGATCACTGATGGCTGCTTAAGAAAACCACACATACAGACAGACTAACCCTACCACAGAGACAAGGGTGCCAACGAGATTCAGCTGGACCTTCGGCACAAATCACCAGTCAGTTCTTCCACTGGCCTCAGACAGCTCTCTTTCCCCTTTCCCTCAGTGCCTAATCCAAGTCTTGATGATTTTACCCACCCTTCTTATCCCCTGCTCCTCTCACCCCCTTTACCCCCACAACCTTGCTTCACTGAAAATAGCGAGGCCATCTGACATGCACAGTAGCCCTTGACTTCCTGCCCCCCCACCACGTGTGTACCCCAGCCCAGGAATGAATCAGAAGGCTCCCTTCCTTGTTCAAAGCCAGCCACTTTGACAAGTGCCCTTGACACACACACACACACCACCCGTTATTGTCTGCTCTCTCTCCTGTATCTTCAGCCTCTCCCCACTGCTGACACCTTTTTTTAACAAAGACACAGACACACAAACACACAAGCACTTTCTATTTCATATGTGCTAATATATGTATATATATACTAGCATTTTCTGTTCTAAAAATAAAAACTAAAAGGAACCACTCCCTTAATTCTGCCCCCATCTCTAGCTGTCTTCCCTCTTCTTATTCAGCATTTCAAGACAGTGTCTGTACTTGCTGCCACCAGCTCCTTACCTCCCGTTCATTTCTTTAACACTCCCACCTGGCTTCTACTCTCCTAATTCTACCACTTTTTTTCTTGCTAAATTCATTAATAACTTTACGAAAGTCAAGGCTAAGGGATATTTTTTGATTCTTGTCTACTAGGACTTTTCCTGGTGCATTTGACAATGTTATTATTTCCTTGCTCTTGAAAGTCTGTACTTTTGGCTTCCATGAAACTGCTCTTGTGGTTCTCCTCATGACTCTGGCTGTTGCCTCTCTTCTTTCTTAGTGGGCTCTTGTTCCTTTACCCAGTCCTTAAATATCAGGGCTCCTCAGTATTCTTCCCTCAACCCACAGAGTATGTCTTGCTCCGGGCACACTCACTAGATGACTGTGTTATCTCTTGATTTCAGTTGTGCATAGATCTTGGTGACAGCCAATTCTATATCTCCCAGGAGTGTCTGGCCCACGTGCTAAGCTTCCTGCTGGACATCTGTCAAATGGAACATACTCAAAACTAAACTCACCATCTTCCCTCCTCAAACTGCCCCTCGTCCAGTTCTTCAACTCTGCCTTCTACATTTCCTTCAGAGTGATCAGTCTAAAGTGTGTGTCCTGCTTGCCTTTCTTTGTTTCTTGTAGGGAGTTTTCTTCTTTTATCTTCTCTCTCTCTCTTTTTTTTTTTTTTTTTTTTTAAATTTTGAGTTGTGCAGCATAGATAGAATGATGAGACTTGGAAGAATAGGTGTGGGTGCAGGTAAATTTTATAGAAGTGGTATTAGAGGGTTAAAGGAATTCTTTTTTGATGATTTTTATCATTTCTGTGAGGTTTGAGACAGTTAACTTCTCAGAGTTAAATTGATGGAGGTACTGTACTGGAGGTTACTAATTGCGTCTCAGTAAAAAAAAAAAAAGGCGATAGTTGTAGAAATCAAAAGAAGTCCTTGCATGTTAGTGCAGTCATTATGAAACTTTTCCAGTTATGGTCATGTTTTTAGTTGTACTCATTTAACTATTGTTCAGCATTCAATGTCTTAATAGCTTCTATCTTTTTAGTGCCATAGAATATTTTCTATCATGAACAAAAGGAGTTGAGAGGAACATGGAGAAGTACGTTTTTTCAGACATTTTGAGGCCAGAAACGTACATAAATGTAGGATACTCATGGTTATCAAAATAATTTCTAGTTTAAAATTTGTTTTAGGTGTTTTGTCTTTGGGCCATCACTGTGACATTCTCAGTCAAAATGTAGCATAGCACGTATAGGGCAAAGTGCAAATGGGCTTTTCCCTTTTGACAAGTATTTTCTATGTGAGAAGATAAAATTTCCTCACATTGAAGATTAGATTGAGAATTAGTATTGAACCTTTAGGCTCTACAAAGAAACATTGACCTGGGTCGGGCGCAATGGCTCACGCTGGCAATCCCAATATTTTGGGAAGCCAAGGTGGGTGGATTGCTTGAGGTCAGGAGTTTGAGATGAGCCTGACCAGCATGGCAAAACCCCACCTCTACAAAAAATACAAAAGAAATAGCCAGGTGTGGTAATGCATGCCTATAATCCCAGCTACTTGGGAGGCTGAGGAACAAGAATCACTTGAACCCAGGAGGCAGGGGTTGCAGTGAGCTTAGTTTGCACCACTGTATACTAGCCTGGGTGACAGAGTGAGACTCTGCCTCAAAAATAATTGACCTGAAGATCATTTCAAGTTTTCGAGTATAAAGCCATCTAGCATATCATTAATGCCTAAGGTAGCATACTACATATCAATAAATAGTACTTAACAATTTTACATTGTACTTTTGATTCTGAATTTCTAGTTTTATTAGGGAATCTTTAAAAATTATTTGTTTTCAAATGTTTTGATATATATTTACTTTGGCTGCTTGTATCAATAAGATTGGGATGGGTAGTCTTTAACTATTAGTGCTAACTGCTGTTTTTAGCCATTATGAGTAATCAAGATTGATTTAATATGGTCTGATTTCAAACAGCAAAGTATGTCCATTTCAGAACTAAGAAGTCATAATGGTGTCCTTTGAAAATACAGGTTGTGTACCCTTATCTGAAATGCTTTAGACCAGAAGTGTTTGGATTTCAGATTTTTTCAGATTTTGGAGTATACCAGTTGAATGTCCCTAATCTGAAAATCTAAAATCCAAGATGCTCCAATGAGCATTTTCTTTGAGCATTATGTCAGCACTAAGTTTTGGATTTTGGAGTATTTTGGAATTTAGATAATGGTTACTCAACCTATAGTAAGTTTATAGTAAGAAACCTAGAGAAAGTTAATAAGGATTTAATAAATATTAAAGATATTTAAAATAGTTATCTATGAGAATTATGAACATGATACATATATATGTTTCAAATTCTGTTCCAAGATTAAATCCTGACAAGCCATATTTTTTTAAGACATCGAGGTGTTTGAAAAGATACTCAGTTTAGAAGTTAACAGTATTTTAATGTTAGACGAATGAAAATGAAATCTAACAGCTGTGTCTGATACTTTATTTTTGCTTTGTAGATTTCCATTTTGACAGTGCCAGCAGAAGAACCAGGAACTTTTGCTGTTCGGGTCATTGAGTTATGTTCTTCAACGATGACATGCATGAAAGGCACCTGTAAGCATAGTAGAATGGTTGTTTGTATTTTTTGTTTGTTTAGGAAGGCGGGGGGCAGCTGTTAACAGTTGTCAAGGTTGTATCTATAGAGATTTTTCTCACTTTTTTATTATTCAGAGCATTTGCTTATACAAAATACGGCTATAGAGTAAGTCATTTCATACCTTTCCCTTACCTATAAACATTTCGGTGGCTAAATCTTCACAGGCATAATTTTTTAGTTCTCCAGTGAAGAATTTTATGACTTTCAATTATTTCTAATTTTTCTTTAGCTTATTGGAAATCTGCTTGCATTACACTTTTTTTAATTGCTAATTTTTTTCTTTACTTTCTGTCTTAGTCTATTTGTGCTGCTAAGACAAAATACCTTAGACTGTGTGACTTACAAAGAACAGAAATTTATTGCTCACATAATACCTTAGACTGTGTGACTTATAAAGAACAGAAATTTATTGCTCATGATTCTAGAGGCTAGAAAGTCCAAAATTAACGTGCCAGCAGATTCAGTGTCTGATGTGAACCTGTTCCTCATAAGTGACACCTCCTTTGTGTCCTCATATAGGGAATAGGGATAAAGAAACTTCCTTGGACCTCTTTTGTAAGAGCACTAATCCCATTTATGAGGGCAGAGCTCTCATGACTTAACCATATTCCAAAGACTCTACCTCTTAATACTTTTGCATTGTGGGCCTACTTGAAGTGTTAAGAGGTAATACTTTTGCATCGCATATGTCAACATATGAATTGTGAGGAGACACAAACATTCAGACCATAGCACCTTCAATTCTAAATTCTGAATCCAATTACTGAACTTTCTTCATGTATAAATTTTCAATTTATTTTGTTTATTTATGAGACTAAAGTTAAGGACTGCTTTATCTGCTCTTTCACTTACATGTTTCAAAACTTTTGTTTCCAGCAGCATTAGATATCATGCATTCTACAACATATTTCTTGAGGATATTTCAGTAAATAGGAGTCCACAAGTATACATTATACATCACTGTGCCTAGACCTAAGCTATGTACTATAAGTATTCAAAGCAGAAGCTGAGATACCTGATTTGAAATGTTCATGATATTATCACTCACCTAATGCAACAAGAAAACGTATTTATTAAGTGAGTACAACATATTGTGCTGGGCATTTTATAGTAGGTAAAGATGCATAAGATACCCCTGACCATAGGGGTTTTGCAGTCTAGTTGAACAGATAAAACAAACATAGAAGTAGCTGGAAGAGGCAAAATATGAGAAGTATCAACAAACAGCGTACTCTAGGGATTCATAGGAAGGAGACATAATATCATTAACTAGAAAAATATTTTTTGATCCTGTAAACTTAAGTGTTAGTCAGACCTGAGAAGCAAAAAGACTAATCTGGTTTTGCGTAGTCACAAGGAAAACTTCAATGGGGAAATGTAGAGCTACTACTTAAAATTGGGAACATGTAATTAGGCAGAAAATAGTGGGAAGCCTGATGCCAGCAGAGAGCATTAAGAAAACTTTTCAACATTGCTCTAATCCTAAATTTCCTTTGGATAAGTAGCTCAGAGGACCATTTCTCCTTTTATAGTGTACTAGTCCGTTTTCCTGCTGCTGATAAAGATATAACCTGAAATTGGGAAGAAAAAGAGGTTTAATTACAATCACAGTTCCACATGACTAGGGAGGTCTCAGAATCATGGCAGGAGGCAAAAGGCACTTCTTACATGGCGGTGGCAAGAAAAAAATGAGGAAGAAGCAAAAGCAGAAACCCCTGATAAACCTGTCAGATATTGTAAGACTTATTCACTATCACGAGAATAGCATGGGAAGGACCAGCCCTCATGATTCAGTTACCTCCCCCTGGGTCTCTCCCACAACACGTGGGAATCCTGTGAGATACAAGTCAAGTTGAGATATCAGTGGGGACACAGCTAAACCATATTATTCCACCCCCAGCCCCTCCAAATATCATGTTCTCACATTTCCAAAGCAATCATGCCTCTGACAGTTTTCCAAATTCTTGTTTCAGCATTAACCCAAAAGTCCACAGTCCAAAGTCTCATCTGAGACAAGGCAAGTCCCTTCTGCCTATGAGCCTGTACAATCAAAAGCAAGTCAGCTGCTTTCACAAGCTGGCATTGAATGTCTCTGGCTTTTCCAGGTGCACGGTGCAACCTGTTGGTGGATCTATCATCCTGGGGTCTAGAGAATGTAGAGAATGGTGGTCCTCTTCTTACAGCTGCACTAGGCAGTGCCCCAGTAGGGACTCTGTAGGGGGAACTCTAACCCCACATTTCCCTTCTGCAATGCCCTTGCAGAGATTTTTCATGAGGGCCCCACTCCTGCAGCAACCTTTTGCCTGGGCATCCAGGCGTTTCCATACATCTTCTGAAATCTAGGCAGAGGTTCCCAAACCCGAGTTCTTGATTTCTATGCACCCACAGGGTCAACACCATGTGGAAGCTGCCAAGGGTTGGGGCTTGCACCCTCTGAAGCCACAGCCCAAGCTCTACATTGGGCCCTTTCAGCCACTGCTGGAGCGGCTGGGACACAGGACACCAAGTCCCTAGGCTGTACACAACATGGCGGTGCCTGGCCCATGAAAGCACTTTTTCCTCCTTGGCCTCCAGTCCTGTGATGAGAGAGGCTGCTGTGAAGATCTCTGACATGTCCTGGAGACATTTTCCCCAACAGTCTTAGTGATTAACATTAGGTTCCTTGCTCCTTATGCAAATTTCTGCAATAGGCTTGAATTTTTCCTCGAAAAACAGGTTTTTCTTTACCACTGTATCATCAGGCTACACATTTTCTGAACTTTCATGCTCTGTTTCCCTTTTAAAATGGAATGCTTGTAACAGCACCCAAGTCCTTTTGAATGCTTTGCTGTTTAGAAATTTCTTCCACCAGATATCTTAAATCATTTCTCTCAGGTTCAAAGTTCCACAAATCTGTAGGGCAGGGGCAAAATGCTGCCAGTCTCTTTGCTAAAACATAACAAGAGTCACCTCTGCTCCATTTCCCAACAAGTTCCTCACCTACATCTGAGACCACCTCAGCCTGGACCTTATTGTTCATGTCACTATCAGTATTTTTGTCAAAACCATTCGAAAAGTCTCTAAGAGGTTCCAAACTTTCCCACATTTTCCTCTCTTCTCCTGAGCCCTCCAAACTGTTCCAACCTCTACCTGTTACCCAGTTCCAAAATTGCTTTCACATTTTTGGGTATCTTTTCAGCAATGCCTCATTCTACTGGGACCAATTTACTGTACTGGTCTGTTTTCATGCTGCTGATAAAGACGTACCTGAAACTGGAAAGAAAAAGAGGTTTAATTGGACTTACAGTTCCATAGGCTGAGGATGCCTCAGAGTCATGGCAGGAGGTGAAAGGCACTTCTTTCATGGCAGCAGCAAGAGAAAAATGAGGAAGAAACAAAAGCAGAAACCCCTCATAAAACCCATTAGATCTCGTGAGACTTATTCACTATCATGAGAATAGCATGGGAAAGACGGGTCCCCAGGATTAAATTACCTTCCCCTGGGTCCTTCCCACAACACGTGGGAATTCTGAGAGAAATAATTCAAGTTGAGATGTGGCTGGGGACACAGCCAAACCATATCATGTAGTGATTTGTGCTACAGGAAAATCTTTACCATGACAGTTGGTGCTATTTTCTACTATTATTACCTTAACTATTTTTTCATGTAATTTTATCTGTGTTAGCTTCTTAGATATAAAATAAAACTGAACCTATTATGGTTTTTGCGATTTGTATTTGTTTTATGTTTGTGAGTATTCTTTTTCAAATTTCCATTTTTAGTTTAGATTCAGGAACTGCACAGATTTGTTACAAGGATATATTGCATGATGCTGAGGTTTGGTCTTCTATTTATCCTGTCACTCAGATAGTGAGCATAGTACCCAAAAGGAAAGTTTTTCAGCTATTTCCTTGCTCCATCCCTCCTTTTGGAGTATCCAGTGTCTATTGTTCCCATCTTTATGTCCATATATACCCAAGATTTAGCTCCCACTTAGTAAGTGAGATCATGTGATACTTGGATTTCTATTTCTATGTTAATTCAGTTAGGATAATGGCCTCTAGCTGCATCCATGCTGCTACAAATGACATGATTTTCTTCATTTTTATGGCTGCATAGTATCCCATGCTGTGTATGTACCACATTTTTTTAATCCAGTCTGCTATTGATGGGCACCTAGATTGGTTCCATGTCTGCTATCAAGAATAGTGCTGCGATGAACATGGAATCGTTTTTGTTCGTTTGTTTGTTTGTTTGTTTGTTTTTGGTAGAATGAGTCATTTTCATTTGGATATATGCCAGTAATGGGATTGCTTGGTTGAAAGATAGCTCTGTTCTAAGTTTTTACAGAAATCTCCAAACTGCTTTCCACAGTTACTGAACACATTCCCGCCAACAGTATATAAGCATTCCCTTTTCTTTGCAGCCTTTACAGCATCTGTTATTTTTTGAATTTTTAATAATAGCCATTCTGACTAGGGTGAGATGGTGTCTCTTTGTGGATTGATTTGCATTTCTCTGATTAGTGATGTTGAGCACTTTATCCTATGTTTGTTGACTACTTATATGTCTTCTGAAAAGCATCTGTTCAAATCCTTTGCCTGTTTTTTAATGGGATTGTTTTATTCTTGTTGATTTTTAATTTTTTTAATAGATTTTGGATATTAGCTATTTATTGGATGCACAGTTTGTGAATATTTTCTCCCATTCTGTAGTTTGTTTACTCTGTTGATAGTTTCTTTTGCTGTGTAGAAGTTCTTCAGCTTAATTAGATCCCATTTGTCAGTTTTTGTTTTTGTTGCAATCGCTTTTGAGGACTTGGTCATAAATTGTAAATAGTCTTCATAAATTGCTTTTTAAATTATTTTTCCACTTGTCATATTTTAACATTCCCAGTCTAATAATTTATGTTCACTGTTGACAATTTGGAAGAAAAGTTACTGTAATCCCTCTACCTAGTAATGACAGATACCCTTG